TATGATCCCCAGTGTTGGAGGTAAGGCCTAGTGGAGGTACTGGATCATGGGGGCAGATCCTTTATGAATGGCTCAGCGCCATCCCCTTGGTGATAAGTGAGCTCTTACTCGAGTTAGTTCACACAAGATCTGGTTGTTTAAGAGTGTAGCATCTCCCTTTTCTCTCTCTTGCTCCTTCTCTCACCATGTGACATGCCTACTCCTCCTTTTCCTTCTGCCCTGACGGTAAGCTTCCTGAGACCTCACCAGAAGCAGATGCTGGCACTACACTTTCTGTACAACCTGCAGAGCCATGAGCCAGTTAAACATATTTTCTTTTTAAGTTACCCAGCCCCAGGAATTCCTTTATAGTGATGCAAATGGATGAACATAAAAAAATGGTACTGGGAGTGAGGCATTGCTATAAAGATACTTTAAGACGTGGAAGCAGCTTTGGCAATGGGTAACAGGCAGAGATTAGGAGTTTGGAGGACCAGAAGAAGACAGGAAGATGAAGGAAAGTTTGGAATTTCTTAGAGACCTGTTAAGTGATTTTGACCAAAATCCTGATAGAAATACGGGGAGTGAAGGCCAGGCTGATGAAGTCTCAGATGGAAATGAGGAACTTATTGAGAACTAGAGCAAAGGTCACCCTCCTTACGCCCAGGCAAAGAACTTGGCTGCATTGTGTCCATATTCTAGGGATCTGTGTAAGTTTGAACTTAAGAATCACAGCCTAGGGTATCTAGTGGAAGAAATTTCTAAGCAGTAAAACATTCAAGAAGTGGCCTGGCTGCTTCTAACAACCCACAGTCAGCTATGGAAGCAAAGGAATGATTTACATTTGGAATGTTGGAATTTACGTTTAAAAGGGAAGCAGAGCATAAAATTTTGGAAAATTTGCAGCCTAATCCTGTGGTAGAGAAGGAATTCAAGTGGCCTATGGAGCAACAACTTGCTAGAGAGATTAGCCTGACTAAAGAGAGCCATGTGCTAGGCAAGACAATGGAAAAAGGGCATGGAAGCATTTCAGAAATCTTCTAGGCAGTTCCTCCCATTTCAGACCCAGAGGTCTAGGAAGAAAATATGGTTTTGGAGGCCAGACCAAAGGCCCTGCTGCCCTGCACAGCCTTGGGACACTGCTCCCTGCATTCCCGCTGCTCTAGCTTCAGCCCTGGCTCAAAGGGCCCCAGGTACAGCTTAGTCCACCACTCTAGAGGGTGCAGTCTATAAGCCTTGCACAGAACGCCAGAGTGAAGAAGGCTTGGCAGCTTCCACCTAGATTTCAGAGGATGTATCAGAAAGCCTGGGTGCCCAGGCAGAAGCCTCTTGAAGGGGCAGAGCCCCCACAGAGAACCTCCACTAGGGCAGTGCAGAGTGGAAACATGGGACTGGAGCCCCCACACAGAGTCCCCACCAGGATACTGCCTAATGGAGCTGTGGGAATGGGCTTGCCACCCTCTAGACCTCAGAATGGTAAAACCACTAGCAGCTTGAAACCTCAGCATGGAAAAGCCACAGGGGCAGAGCTGTCCAAGACCGTGGGAGCCCACCTGGCATGCCAATGTGCCCAGGATGTGGGACATGGAATCAAGGATTATTTTGAAGCTTTAAGGTTTAATGCCTACCCTGCTAGGTTCCAGACTTGCATGGGGTGTTATCTCTTTCTTTTGGCCAATTTATTTCTTTTGGGATGGGAATGTCTACCCAACGCCTGTCCCACTACTGTATTTTGGAAGTAAGTGTACATATAAGCTCATAAGTGGAAGAACTTGCTCTTGAGTCTCGGATGAGACTTTGGACTTTGAGTTAATGTTGGAATGAGTTAAGACTTTCAGGGACTATTGGGAAGGGATGATTGTATTTTGCAATGTGAGAAGGACATGAGCTTTGGGAGGTCAGGGGTAGAATGATATGGTTTGGATATGTGTCCCCTCCAAATGTCATGTTGAAATGTGATTCCCAATGTTGGAAGTGGGGCTTTGTGGACATAGCATCATAAATGGCTTAGCCTCATCCCCCTGGTGACGAGTAAGTTCATGCTTGAGTTAGTTCACGTGAGAGCTGGCTGTTTAAAAGAGTCTAGGGCTAGGCATGGTGGCTCACACCTGTAGTCCCAGCATTTTGGGAGGCCAAGGTGGGCAGTTCACTTGAGCACAGGGTTTGAGACTAGCCTGGGCAACGTGGTAAAAAAAAATGCAAAAATTAGATGGACATCGTGGTATGTGACTGTAGTCCCGGCTACTCTGGAGGCTGAGGTGGGAGAATTGATGGAGCCCAGGAGGTTGAAGCTGCAGGGAGCTGTGATTGTGCCACTGCACTCCACCCTGGGTGACAGAACGGGACCCTGTCTCAAAATAAATAAATAAATAAATAAATAAATAAATAAATAAATAAATAAAAAGAGCCCAGGGCCTCCCCCTCTTCTCTCCTGCTCCCATTCCATGTGATACGCCTGCCCTGCCTGCACCTTCCACCATGATTGTAAGCCTTCTGAGGCCTTCAGCAGAAGCAGATGCTGGCATCATGCTTCCTGTACAGACTGCAGAACTGTGAGCCTTTTAACCTCTTTTACCCAGCCTCAGATATGTCTTTATAGCAACACAAACAGACATCGCTATAAGCCACACATTTGAACACACCAGCAATGGATTTGAAATCCCTTTTGGAATAGAAGACCTTAAAAAAAAAAGAACAGAAATGCCATCAGGTCTCTTTCAGAAATCACTTCTGACCCTTTGCCTTGGGAACAGAGTTTTTACAAACTGTCTTTGCCTTGGGTATCTTCTGCGGTCAGGAGGCAGCACATTTACCCTCATTTAACTTCACTCTGCCTTTCCCATTTCTTCCTCTCTTTCAACTTGTTGAAAGAATGTTTCCTGACTGGAATACAGCAAGTGAGCTTACTTTCTTACTCTTGTTCCCGGCCACAGAGACAATAAGAGTGGCAGCAGTTGTCATTGAATTTTAAAGATGAGTAGTGGAAGGCAAGTATTTGGAATCAAAGACCAAAGCCTGAAGGTCCAGCTCTAGAGTTTATCATCTGTGTGACCGTGGGCAGGTCGCTTTTCATCTCTGGGCTTTAGTTTATTTCCTTGTACTTAGGAGGTTGCAGTAAAAAGGAAATGATGAGACAATGTTCATGAGAAGTATAAGCTGTAATGTGCCACATGAGTATTTTTCATCCTTACTGAGTGTAATTATCATCCTCATCATTACAGAAATGAGTCTATTGCCAGACTCCTGAAATATCTGGGGACATGGAGACAACGCCACAGCATTCTGGGAGGCCACACATGCAGCTTCAAGGTCTGCTGGCCACTCTGTCCAATGGAGAGAAAAAGCCAGTGGGGGGCTGGTGCAGCGTCTCAAGGAGCATCTTAAAGTATTTTGATTAAGAGATCATTTCCTGAATTCAGAGGACTTGTTTCAACAAGCAAGCATCAAAGTCAACTTGGGAAAGACAGGAATAATTAATCATGGTCTTGTCTGGGGCTGACCAAGCGGCAGATGGATTGATAAACCTTTCAAAGGGGAAGGTATTCCCAAGGAGGGCTGCTGCGCCTGGCTGCCCCCCTGATTGAGATTTGTGAGCACAGATAAATGTTTTCCCTGCTCACTACAAAGAGTGGGAACTTGCACGGGAGTCGAAGGGCAGGGTAGCGAGGGGTTGTCCTTTCATCTTCTATTGGGTGAGAGAAGAGTAGCAAAGCAGGTCCCACACACCTCTCCCTCTACCCCCAGCTCCAGAGCCCAGCTGCCCTGGCCCTGTGTATGTTTCAGTGCCCAAGACACCAGGTATTTAATCTACACCACGTTGCTGAATCCTTAGAACAAGCAGATATTACAACTCTCACTTTAAAGATGAAGAAATAAAGGCTCAGGGAGGTCAACGTCACCAACCAAATGGCAGAACGAGGAATAGAACCCACCTGCTCCACTATGCTCTAGGGCTGGGAGGACTTTGGGGCAAAGGAAAGAACAGAGAACCCTGATCCCATGAAGGAACCTGCTGGGAAGCCCATGGCAGTGGATAAAGTGTGATTTGCAGGGCTCTGATGAAAAAAAGATCATCAACAAGACCAAATTCTGCTGAGAGCCTTTGACATGAAGTTCAAGGTTGTCACCTACTTATCTAGTAATCAATAGAGGCCAAACAGTTCTCACACTGCACAGACCCCAGCTACTAAAAGATCTCATTGTGTTACTCTGGAAACTTCACCTGTGTTCAGACATCTAGTCCTGTTTTCTAACTCTCAGGGTCTTCTTGCGGTCCAGCAGTGAGCCTCGCCATCAGCTACCTGTCTTTACTATTCCATCACCTCTTTTCGGAGGTGGGACTTAGTCATCAACTGAAACAGTGACTAAGCCTCTGGATTCCCCACTTCCAGTGCACCAGGAAGTTGATTATAAATTTCTTGATAAAACCCCAAGTGGATGCATACCCCTGGAAAAGCCAGGCTGTCTACTGGGGAGTCCCCATGGGTTGGCATAAGTGGGTCATTCTCAGAGCTTATGGCATTCCGGGTCCAGCCTGGGTCCAGGTGAATCAGCCTCAGGACCTCTGACTTCCTACTCACTTTCTCCACTGACTACTTTGTGGATCCTCAGGGATCCCTCTTGCAAAGCATGGACCTCAGCAGGGGATCTATCCTCCTGAGCCCTCCTTGGAAATACCTTTTCCAGGGATCATTGATCATTCTATTGGGGAGCACTCAATTTCAATGCCTAAGCGCTCTGTGTCATCCAGTCTCCAGTGACCTATCAAACTTTTGTCCTGGTTTAGTGCTTTTAGTGGGGAATCTGGGGGAGCAATAATAAGCCCTTTCAAACTGTGGCTTTTTTTTTTTTTTTTTTTTTTTTTGCCCTGGACCTTAAGAATTCCCTTTGCAAGTAACAGGGAGCCTCAGAAGGACCAAGCTTCTTCTGGCCAAGTGCGTGCTTGCCACGCCCTCCGCACATCAATAGCCTTAGTCATATCCTCCCCACACCCCAACCCCCGCAAATCCTCCTGGCATTACCTGTTTACTTGAAGACATGTTGGTGAGTGTGCTGATGCTGCTGGTATCTGTGACCACCATTGCAGATGGAAACCGGGAGGTGTGGGAATACTGGGGGGGTTCCTGCTTGTGTGCGTACACTGGAGAGAGAGTGAAGACAGAATCAAGGTTGCATACCCAGGCACATACACAGCTCCAGAGCCCCCATCCCACACCATAGCTCCCATTTCCCCAGGCAGATAAAAGGGTTGGTGCATTTAAGTGAGGATTTTTTCATATTAGTTATCTATAAGATTCATGTAAATTTTAAGTCACATGATCAACTCTTGAAAGCATGTGGACACTTGGCCGTGAGGGAGAGACCAGCCTGTTTTCAGAACATGGGGCCTACCAGAGAGGCCTCTAGTACAGAAAAGGGGTAAAGGTCACTGGCTGTTGCCTCAGCTTGCCCTTCTCATGCAGGGAGGCAGGTTATTTCCTGGTCCAGGGCACCATGGGCTCTCTCTTCATGGGGGGCCAGGCCTGCTGGGCCTCAGCAGCCTACAGGTCCTTGGTGACCACTCTCTGACTGTCCCACCCAGGCCTGACCACTGAGGAAGTCTGGCCAAGCGAAGGGATAGGCGCAAGTGGGGAGCACATTGCCAGGCTCTGGGAGGATGGGAAGTGGGGCACATGTGGTCTCAGACTCTGCTACAGGCTGTGGCAGATTTTTAGAAGCCACTAAAATGTGATTGGAATGTGAGATGGTGCTCAGAAACCAGCTCCACAGGCCCGGGTGGGGATTGAGCCCTGAAGATAGATGGCTGGACTTGGCTGTTCTTTTTCAAACCCACAGCTTAGCCGATGCAGCTAGGGAAGAAACACAAATCTCTTTCACCATACTTGCCTTCTGGGAGTCCCTTTATAAATAATCTTTATAATTCTTTATGCTTACCAAAGGCAGTTCAGCCCTATGTTTATTTCATCTTCATAATGACCCTAAATGCATACTATTTCCATTTTATGGATGAAGAGATTGGGCTCAGAGTGGCTAAGTAACTTGCATTAGGCTACATGACTGGTAAGTATCACAGGCAGGATTTAAATCCAAGTCTGTCTGATCTGAGACTAGTGCTTTATACTGAACACTTCCTTGGGGTTTCTGAAGCAGTGAAGCCATGATTTCTCCCCAAACTCCTGTGTCAGGGTCTGCAGCCAGACCTGGCCAGAGGAATGGAAGCCTGGGACACAGGATGAAAGGCATAGAAACCGAGGCTGGGATTGGATGGGAAATAAGTGGTTGAGAGGAGGCTTGGGGTAGGTATAGAAATTGGATATGAGAAACAGTCTGTGTGCAGGCGTGCAGGGGTAGTGGGGAGGAAGAAACTCTAATGCCCAGGATGGCATGCCCCTGGTATTTTTCACTTGTGTTCATGGTTCTTGATTAGAGGTGTTTGGGGTGTATAAATTGGAAGACATGGGACTCTAGAAGATTCTTCTATTTTAGGGAAGGCAAACAGGATGCAAATTAGATGCCAACTCTGATCATTTGATAATGGCTGCTTGGAAGTTTGGATTGCAAAGGCTAAGTTGAGGTTCACTGGGAAAAGGTGCTGGTGGTTTAAGGGCGCTGTCTTTTCCAGAGGTGTTGGAATGGGAAATTGGGCTGAGTGTTCTACAGGCTGTCTGTCTTCAACTCCCCTTCACCTGTAGGTTTCTTCCCCAAACCTTTCCCTAGCGATCTCAGGGGTAGAGAAGGGGACTAGAAAAAGTACAGCAACACACAAGAGTTATACTTGAGAAATAGTCTTGGTTGGTGGATCATAGGCGGGGCAAAGTGACCAAACCAATAAACTTCCAAGAAAGTTCAGACCCAGAGAGGAAAAGTGGTTGGCCATTGAGGGTCCTTAGTGCTCCCTCCCTTTACATGCCCGTGTCCTTACTGTGTGAGTTCTGCAGCTGAGTCACAGCAGCCATGAAGGGCTGCTGGGCCATGTGGCTGCCTGGGCTCTGCTGCATGAGGGGCTGCTGGTGAGGACTGTGCAGCTGCTGGGAGAACTGGACGGGCTGCAGGGCTGCCAGGCTGCCGGCCACACTGTTGATGACAGGGACACTCTGTGCTTGGGAGGTGTTGAGGCCTGTGGGAGCAAGAGGAAAAGATCAGAGACAGTGTCTGGGATGAGGAGAGGTACATGGATGTCATCATTTGAGCCCCTGCTCAATGTACCAGTCACGGGGCTGAGCCTGTTACATAGATTGCACGCGAGGTGAGTTTAAGAAACTGAGACTTGGAGAGATTAATTTACTTGCTCAAGTTCCACAGTGAGTTGTGGGTTGGAGATGGGTATTAAACAGATCTAATTAAAGCCTGAGAGTCTCCCACAGTCATCCTGTGACCTCCCAAACTTAGCTCTCTTGAGGTTACCAGGGCTTTGGAAAAGCTGGCTCTACTTGCCCACTCCATCCATGCCAGGCTGTGAGGCTTGCCCTGGTGCCCGCAGGGCAGAGTTAAAGGTGTCCACACTGAGGCACAGGTTATTGCCAGATCTATCTGTCCAGTAGAGGGCAGGAGTGTGCAGGAACCCAAATTTTGATTAAAAATAACTTCCATAGTCCCAGAAGTATGAAGTTTGGAGACCCTTATTTAGTAGACTGTACAAAGACCCTGAGAGAGGTCAAGTGCCAACTCTCTTGACTGTAACAGAGAGTGGAGAAAACACTGGATTCAGCCAGTCTATGAAGTGGGCATCTCTTATCTGGCAGCATAGGGCTTGTGGCATTAAAAGGACCAGGTTTTAGAAAGAAGAAGTAGTAAGTTCAAGGCTGACTCTTGGCAGGTACAGTGGGTCTTGCCATCTTTCTGTTCTGGGGATGTCAGGGCCCCTGTGACTTGGAACTGCGCCTATATCCTCAGGCCTCTTTAGAACCTGGGCCAGCACTGTGAGGAATGGATTCCCTGGTACCCACGCTCTCTCTCTCTATCTGAGAGTGACACTGAGGAAAACAGCTAAAGTAGGGTTGGAGTGGTGACAGGACGATCAGGAGAGAAGACACGGACCTACTTCCTGGGTCTGTCTATGTTCCTGTGGGGGGAAGAATAGGATGAAGAAGGAATCCAGGAAAAGGTCTGTTTTAGGTGGATGCGGAAGAGACACCTAGAGAGGGTTTCCTGAAATGGAGAGGGTTTCGTAAGCAGGTTTGTGGGAAGTCTTCAATGGAGATAACACAGAGTCCCCAACAATTGCCTACTCGGAGCTTTAGCTGATACTGTTATCAGAAACCTAAAAGGCGAGACCTCCGAGCAGAAAGGACAGGGCGATAATCCCACTCCTGGCTCTCCTGGGTGGGGGCTGGGGAGTGCGATCCTCTGATCACCCTCAGAACAGCACTGTCTCCAGTTCCCCAGGGGGCTCAGCGTCTCCTCAAGCCAGCATCTCACCAGATACCTTGATTACCTTGTTTCCCTTTCCTACCTCCTGCTTACGGTCTCAATCTCCCAGGAAGCCCCATGGGTTTGCTCTTTCTGAGAAATCTCTGAGGGCACTGCTGCTGCTCTTTTTGGGAAATCACTGCCCAGAAAAGCAAATTATCCTGTGTAGAGTAGATGACATTTGAAGACATAGTTCTGAAACCTGCATGTGCTTCAGAAGTCATCTGGGGGAACTCTTTAACAAATAAACATTCCTGAGCCCCACCCAAGACCTAATGAGTCAGAACCTTCAGAGGTGGGGCCCAGGAATCTTATTTTCAATGCAGTTTTTGATCCTGACAGACTGAGAGCCACTGATGTCATTCCAGCTCCCTCAGTGGGTAAGTCTTGACCTTTTCATCTGTTTCTGTTTCTGGGCACTGGTTCTTGCTTGGGAAGTATGCTGTGCAGTCCGAGGAAGAGATGAGGAAGAGAATAGGATAAAGAGATGAGAAGGAGTAGAGAATAAGGATTTGGCCCTGCCAAATAATCCGTTACCATCTTCTCCACGGGCTTCTGCAATTCTGAGGCAGGGCCTGTGGTACTCAACACGTCAGTTAGTTAAATGAGGATGCCTGCAACCAGTTCCTCATCTTGACGCTCTGTAGTGTAGGACCTCTGTGTCTCAGCAGTTTTCTGGTCATTGTCACCATTCCTCATGCTCTGTTTACCCCAAGTGTACACAGACATGTACACACACAGCCATCCTTCTAAAGTCAGTGTGCACTCTGGTGTGCCATGTCTGAACAGGAGATTAGGAGATTAAGGATCGTTGTGAGATGAAAGAGAAATATGAGTAGAGGAAATTAGGAGGAACAAAATGGAAAGATATAGACTAGGCCCAGGCAAAATTTTAATTCAGATAGTGCCTGAGGGGGAATATATATATATATATAAACTATATGGCAGTGAAAGCTTAGCATGGGAAGAAAGAAGGTAAGTGGGACGGTTTATTATTTTGGTTGTAGAAATAAGGAAGTAGAATATCTTCCCCATGGGGCTTTTAATCAAATCTTCTAAATTGCAAGCAAGCTGGTTTTAGGTATCTTATCTCATTCTCAATCCAAACTCTGTTATTAGTATAATTACCATATTCCATATACCAGAGGGCCCAGTCAAAAGGCAGTATATTTAAAATGATCATTTATATTGTGAGTCCTCTAAATGTTTCTCCATTCCCATTTTCCTTCTGCACTGTGTGACAATTTCCAAGAAGCTAAGGATAGAATGAGAGCCACATATACTCATACAATAAATTTGTTTGCCTCCATCATGTTCTGACCTCAAAGGATGCATAAGTCATTCTCTTCGTGAGAATCCAGGTTCCGACACTATCTAGAGCTGATTTAGGGAGAGAAGAGGAAAGAAAGAAAGGGCAGAAACAAAACAAAGAGGTGGCCAACATGGGCCCTAGACACCACGAGCAAGGTCAAGAGGACAATGAGGTAACACAAGGTTGAAAGAAAGCTGACCAATGTGCTACCCTTAGATCTCTCCCAAGACGTCCCAGCAATATGTCCAAGGGTCACAAGGATGATTTTGAGAAACAATGACTTGGCCTGAGCCGTCATGGTGAAGCTGAAAATATGCTGAATACTCATCAACATGAAAACTCTCAGAGACATCCACACCCACAGTTCACTTCAGCCTTCTCATGCCTCGAGATGGCCCATCTATGGGAGGCCACAGGCTTGCTGTTGAATATGAGCCTCCTAGAGTTGGAGGGACCTGATCTATCGCCCTCTCTTCAGGCATGTGCCAAAGCAACCTATTTCTCCTTAAAGTTTTCAAAGCTCTCAGATACAATGACAGTTTCCGGGTCCTCCCTTGGCGTATTTTCTCTGCTGGCCAAGGAGGTTTCATATACCACACAAAATTCCCTGTTTAGAAGGAAGCCGGTCATTCTTACTTCATCATCACCAAACATAAAGAAACTCCTGAAAAACCTACCACCTACTTAGGAATGAACTCAAGACAAAGTATACACTATTATATATATTCATGCTTTAGAGATTTACAAGCATGTTCATGTTCACTGTCATTTGATCACTTCAACAACCTATTTTATAGATGAGGACAGTGAATCTCCTAAAGGTTCAGTGATTTGACCCAGGATGCACAGCTGCTAAACGGTGACCAGCATCCAAATCCATTCCATAATTCTCTCTTATTTTAGGCTAACCAATCCAAATATCAGGTTTAAGGAGACAGATGAGAAACTAAAGAAGTTAAACCAAATCTACAAGTTGCGGGTGAGTTTGAAGACCTATAGTTATTTTTACCATATTAATTTGCTTCCCATTCTTCTTCTCCCTGCCCCCAAGTTTTCTGACCAAGAACAGAACTTACTTTGTGCAATTGCCATGACTCCAGAGAGGGGTGTCATGATGAGGTTTTGAGATTGCTGGGGATTATGGTGGGAGAGGCTGTGGATATTCGTCAAGGTGCTGACCGGGGGCAAACCTCCTCCAGAGACTGAGATCTGAGGGAGAGAAAAAAAAACAAGAGAAACATGGATGGACGTGGACTACAAAGAGCAGTTTCCAACATGATGTGACTTAGCGATTCCTTGGCCTGGCTAGTTCTTAAATTCATTCCTTCATTCACTCCATAACAATTATTGGCTGGGTGTGGTGGTTCATGCCTGTAATCCCAGCACTTTGGGAAGCCAAGGCAGGAGCACTGCCTGAGCTCAGGAGTTCAAGACCACCCTAAGCAACATGGTGAAATCCCATTTCTACGAAAAAAGAAAAAACACACACAATTATTAAGTGTCTACTGTGGGACAGACACTACCCTAGATGCTGAGGATACAGCAGTAAGAAAAACAGACAATGATCCTTGCCCTCGTGGCACATCTATTGTTGACTGTCTGAGTTACTAGCCAGCTTCAGAAATTACTAAGGGTTGGGGAGATTAGCCATTTTAGGGTGTCTCTACTTTTTTCACATCTCCATTATACATAACAAATTTTTTTATTTCTTTTTAGGTTAAGAATCCTATATTGTAATCACCATTATATTTTAATGACAGATTAGTATGAGAAAGCTACTGAATTTTGTGTATTTACTTGGTACATGACCCACTTCATTAAATCCTATTAGTGTCTTTTCTTCATTGATTTTTTTCTCCAAGTACGTAATTGTAATACAAGCATCTAATGCTAACAGGGTCTTTTCCCTGCTAGTACTGATATGTCTACATGTCCTAATGCATTGCTTAGAGCTCATAGTATTAAACAATAATAGCTGTAATGGATGTGTTTGTTTTGCTTCTGATGTTATCAGTACTGTTTCTAATGTTTTTCCATTAACTATAATTATAATTTAAGGGTGCTACCAGCTTTATACACATGTGTACTTTTTCATGATAAATAAGTTTACTACTTATAGTTTCAAAATATTTTTTTTCTTTTTTTGAGGTGGAATCTAGCTCTGTCACCCAGGCTGGAGTGCAGTGATGTGGTCTCGACTCACTGCAACCTCCACCTCCCAAGTTCAAGCAATTCTCCTGCCTCAGCCTCCTGAGTAGCTGGAACTACAGGTGCTCATCACCATGCCTGGCACATTTTTGTATTTTTAGTAGAGATGAGATTTTACTGTGTTGGCCAGGCTGGTCTTGAACTCCTGACCGCAGGTGATGTGCCCACCCTGGCCTCCCAAAGTGTTGGGATTACAGGTATGAGCCACTGTGCACAGCCTCAAAGTAATTTTTAAAGTTATTATTAAGAAAGGACTGGCCCATCTCATTCTGAACTAACCCAGGCGTGGCATGCTTGAGAGCCTCAGGAACCCTGAGAGGTGCTTTAGGGTTAGGATACACCAGATATCTGAGTAACTCAACTTTACTTCTTCCAACTTCCACCTCCTGGAGCTCTTCAGACTATAGGTCTCACACCAGCACCCAGGTAAGATGCTATCTCCTACCTTGCCCTTCTGGTCAACCCCATAGCGTCCAAGGTTAATTTAAAAAAGAAAGAAAGCAAAAACCAAACAGGTTTGTTTGTATTTTTAAAATAAGCATCAAGAAATGAGTTAGGGGTCACATGGCCAAGAAGGAATTCTGACCACATCAAACAAGAGAGAACCAGCCTGTTTGCTGGACTTGTTTTTCATAACGTCAGTCATTAAAAAAAAAAAAAAAAATCGTAACCTGCCCTCAGACTGAATCTTCTGGGTAATGTAGTTCCTTTGGAGAAAGTCAACCAAGTGACAGTAATTTCTCTGTCATTGCAGCATTTTGTTAATGGTGTAAGAGAAACGTGGAAGCCAATGATAAAAAGAATTTAAATGTGTGTGGCTTTAGAATTTGTAAAGTGCTTTCACTGATGTCCTTCACTGATAATAACATAAATAGGGCAGGCATTATTACTATCAGTCCCTATATTACAGATTAAGAAACCGATCCTCAGAAGAGCTGAGACTATTTCTATGTCACTTGACTTGCAAGTGAAAAAGCCAGAATTCAAATCCAGTTTTGCTGGAGCTTAAATCTTATCAACTTACTAAGTTTGGGCAACCTTGATCAAGTTACTTCCCATTCTAAAATGCAACCATTATTAAAAAAAAATTTTTTTTTTTGAGACTGGTCTTGCTCTGTCACCAGTGCTGGAGTGCAGTGGCATGATCACAGCTCACGGCAGCCTCAAACTCCTGGAATCAAGCAATCCTCCCACCTCAAACTCTGGAGTAGCTGGGACAACACGCATGCACCACCATGTCTGGATAATTTTTTTATTTTTTGTAGAGACAGGGTCTTGCTGTGTTACCCAAGCTGGTCTTGAACTCTTGGGCTCAAGCAATCCTCCTACCTCACCTCCCAAAGTAATGGAATTACAGGTGTGAGCCACCATGCCTGCTACAACCTCTCTTTGGCTCCTGGACTGAAGGAAGCTAGGACACTGCTTAGGGTATCATTGGTGATCCTCACATGATAATTTGGAAAGCCTGAATTATATTAATGCTGTCATGGTCTCTTCACTATGCTAGGTGCTTTATGTATTTGTAATCTACAAGGTTGGCATTATTATTCTTATTTCATGGATTAAGGATACTGAAGTTTAGAGAAGTTAAGAAATGTGCTCACGTGGTAGAATTGGGGTTGAAAGCCAGCTATGTGCCACCAAGGCCTGAGCTTTTCACAATTAGGCTATATTGCTTGACGCTGTGAAAGCATCCAGTATGTGCTTTTCTTTTTTCTTTCTTTCTTTATTTTTTTAAGGTTCAACATGCACAGACTGCAACCCTAAAGCTGGCCAGTTTTTTTTGTCAATGTATGACATTTGGGCACAGGGGTGGGAAGGGGCAGACAGTACAACAGAGAGTTCGAACGGATTGGCTTTATTTCCAAAACTGGTCCTTGGGGAAAGATTTCAAGGCATGTCCTACTGAAAGTCAGCATGCAGAGATTGTCATTCCTAGAACAGGGCTGATTCAAAGAACAACAGTGCCACAAGCAATCTTCACACCAACCCTATGGCATAGGCATCATTATCTCCCATTTTACAGATGAAGAAACTGAGGTTAAGCAATTTGTCCACACTACTGCTGGTGAATGACGGAGCCAAGACTTGCACATACTGATTCCCTTGCCTGCATTCTTTTTAGCCATACTCCACTCTTGCCCTGGTGGACCAAGATCCATGAAGGACATGTTATTATACTAACAAGAAAACAGACTCTTGAATTTGGGCATCTGATGATAGCGATATAACGTATGCACTAGGGTGTTGGAGACAAGAGAAAAGCCAGTCCCTGCAAACAAGCTTCCGGTTGCAAACAAGCTTCCGGTTGTTTGCTAGCGTTGAGGTGTGCGGTCTTGGTCAATCATCAATCCAGTAACATACTGCCCAGTGAAAGCACTACCGAGCAGAACAGGAAGCAAAAAGTGTGTCCGCAGGCTGCATTTAGAGCTGCCCTGGCCTGGGTGAGGCAGCTTGCCTTTTAGGAGGAGGAGTGGCGGAGCTCAGGAAACCCCCAAGGACCTCCAAGCAATAAGAGCTGAGACTTGGAAGGTTTTTCCACAGTGAGAAGTCAAGGCCTCTTTCACAAGGCCCCCTTCTCCATGGAAGTCCGGGTAACCTTAACCCTAACTTGTTTGGGACACTCTTAAGAAGTCATTAAGACTTATTTGTGCCTCTCACAGGTAACTGACACAAATGGTCCTTTATATGGAGAAGAATCTTTCTTAAGGGATAGGTGGGAGGAGGAGAAGGGGGCTGCAAAATGCCTCCCCCAGGAGTGCCCTTTCATTTTTGTTTGCAGAGGCTGCGTGCAACCAGGGAGAGCAGCTCAGGTCCTCTGAAACCAGAATTGGCCGGGTCACTGCTCCTCTCAGAAACCACACTTTGTTTTTCCTCCAGGGAGCCAGGGACTCGATCACCTGTGACTCACCATTTCTGTGTTGCCTACACAGCACACACGTCAAGATCTAAAATGGCCTCTGCACCCTGCTGTCCTCACCTGTCCTGGCCCCCACTCTGGGAACGTGTGCGGCTCCACCTTCAGTGTGAAAGTCAGGAACCTGCAGCTCCTCCCTCCCCTGAAAAACAGAGCATGACCCGAAGAACAGAGCTTTCCATTCTCTATCCTTGCCAGTGTCGTAATGCTCCTGTTCTCCCACAAGCCACTGTCTCCTGCACTTGTGTTACTAGAGGATCAGAACCTAATTCGAATTAGAACCTAGTTTGTTTTATTTATTTATTATTATTAATTATAATTTTTTGAGACAGGGTCTTACTCTGTTGCCTAGGCTGCAGTACAGTGGCATGAACTTGGCTCACTGCAACCTCCGCCTCCTAGGCTCAAGTGTGCTTCCTGCCTCAGCCTCCCAAGTAGCTGGGATTACAGGTGCAAATCACTACTCCTGGATAATTTTTGTATTTTTTTTTTTAATAGAGATGGTGTTTTGCAATGTTGTCCAGGCTGGTTTCAAACTTTCTGGCCTCAAGTGATCCCCGTGCCACAGCCAAGTGCTGGAATTACAGGTGTGAGCCACTGCACTGGGCCTAGAATCTAGTTTGAAGTAGAAAATTCAAATTCAAGTTGTCCATTATTCACCAAGTGTGCCCAACTTGCCTCTGGGTGTGGGGCCATGGTTATGGATATAGAAACTTTCATTTAATGAGAATGATATTGACATTAACATGACAACAATGCTGCGATTAATTATTTCCTTTGCCAAATGCTGCAGAGTATTTCTCATATGTTATCACGCTCATGCCCCCCAACAAGTCTGTTGTTACTACCCCCACTTTATAGATGAGGAAAAGAGATCATAAGTAGTTGAGTAACCTGTTCGAGGCTGCACAGCTATTAAGTGCTGGAGCTGGGATTTGAACCTGGGCAATTGTAACTTCAAAGTCAGTGTTTCTCCCTCCCTAAGCATTGCCCCACCCCATCTACCATTTGTGCTGTGATCTTCGCTGTCATGGCCTTCCATGTCTTTCACCGTTCCAGTTCAAGAAGCTGCTCCCCATCACCTCCTATCCACTACATCCTGACTTGCTAATGGCTCTCCTTGTTTGTACCAAGGGGATGGTAAGGAGGAAGAGGGGGACTGTGTCAAAGTGAGGTGCTCTCTAGGTTAAAAAATTGGCTTTGGAGGCCTTGGGGGAAGGGACGAATGAACATTTTATCAACACAAATGTCATTGGCAGCCCCAAAACAAACAGTGTCCCACCAGGCTTGCTCCTTTATGAGGCATTCAATCAATAAAATGAGAGCAGAACTCTGTCAGATTTATTGGCTGGGTTCAAACCGAACACCTCTTCTACCCGCCAAAGCCTGGGTCACCAGCACTACCTCTCCTTTCCAACTCTGGACAGCCCCCATTTTCCCCTGTGAGGCTACAATGGTTCATTGTTTGAGGCAGGCCTTGTGAGAAGTTGTGTTTGTTTTGCCTCTTATCTTATCAGCTCCAGAGCTACAATGGCCCAGGTGTACTCACCATTTTACCATCAGGTGAGAGGAGATTGTGGCCCGGGTCCAGGCTGGCTGGGGAGACTTGCTGTAAAACCGACTGGCTGGTCACCATGGCGCTGTTGCCATGGTGACTGATTGTTGAGGAGGAAGTGACCTCATTGTTTCCCTGCTGGCTGTAGCGCACTCCTGCAAAACAACACGAACCCAATAGGGAACATTAGTGCCACCAGGGTCCTGGAACGATGACTTGGCTCCCCTTGTTTTCAAGGGTGGGTGATAAGAAAATAAAGTTGCCTTCTCCTCCCCTGTCCAACCACAAGAAATATCAGCTGCTTTTCTCCAGGGTAAGCATGGCATGTTCTCTATTTAATTCTAGAATGTAAGCTCCATGAAGGCGGGACATTTTTATCTCTTTTGTTTTGTTTATTGATGTATCCCCAGTGCCTTGGCACTGCATAGTCACTCAGTATACTTCTGTTGAATAAATGAATTACTGAATGGATTCTGTTTGTCATTGCTTCCACACAGTTCTTTCAAGATTTGGTGGTAGAGACTAGCCTTCTCTTCCTACTGGTTGGAGTATATCTTTTATTCTTCAAAATGCCTTCTAGAAATGTGTCCCTGGCATCTCTCATGGTGCTGCAAAGTATAAGTAGACCCATGTGACAAAGAAGAGGCCCTTGTCCAGTGACTCTTAAAAGAGCCGTCCGTAGCTTAGGTATCAGTCTCTGTGTACCGCCTTTGTGGCCAGGCCCAAGAGGTCAGGGGCGCGGACACAGGCAGAGTAGGACAGGGATGAGGTTGCATCTAGGAGCTAGGCTCTGGAACTCACATTCCTGTGGTGGGGTCCCATTTGGCTGCCTTCCAGGGCACAGGGAAATGTGCGTCTGCCAGGAGGTGGGTCAGGCAGCACACACAGACAGATGTGGATGTTTAGTAAACCACTGGAGTTGGCTCTGCAAGGGAAGGGTAGAACCAAACATGTTTATAGCCTCACTGCTCTGACCCTCCCTCTTGCTCAGGCACCGACATGGAAGTCTGCTTTCAGGAAAGAAAAGTACTGGACAGCGATCAGGCAACTGAAGGAAGCCAAAAGAGGGCCAAGAACCTGGATCCAGTTTGCAGGTGCAAATCCTGCTTGATGTGTCCATGAAATAGCCAAGGACAAGGTTGCGGGTACATGGGGCCTCTTGCCCTAAGCTCAGTGCTTAGAAAGACTATGTTCTTGTTTTTTGCTTTGGATTTGACAAAAAGGTTTGGAGGTCCCTGTCCTGCAGAGACCAAATGCTCTAGGCATGGAATAATCTGGAGAAGCAGACCCACTCTTTAGCTGCACATCTTCTTTTGCCCAGTTTCCCAAGATGAGCCATCCCTGTATACTGATTCTGTTGCTGTTCTTTCATCCACCCACCCCCTGCCCGAGCTAGATCCCCGCTTTCCAGAGGAGGCTATAAATTCCCCCAGGGGCCAGGCACACTGCTATAATCAGTGTCATAATCTGCCTTCAATTCATTAAGATGAAGCTTACCAAGATGAGACCAGATGAGCCCTACGCCAGTTTTCCTTGGATCTTCCTAAGGCTATTACCCAAGGCTGACATGACCTAGAGCTTAAGAGGGCTAGGGAAAAAACACACAAGTGCTAAAGCGGACTCTGACCTTCAAGAGCAACTTGTCTGAGTATGCAGTGACTTGATGCTTGCTCTATAAGCTTTTCTATTAGCCATTTTCCCCATTCTTTGAATCAAGGAGCTGCTAGTGGGGGAGTGGTGACAGTGGGATGGCACTGGAATTGGTGGTTATTGGTTTAAGGCACTACATTTTTTGGAAAGAACTAGAACCGTGAAGTTAAAAGGAGGGACAGCGTCCAGCTCCCCAAGTCAACAACTTCTGCCCAGTCCCCTGTCCTCCTGTGCACCTATTTTGCAGCCCCCAGGTCTCCTGTCTGCCATCTCGATGCCATCACATTGGATTAAGTGAGGTCTTCTTTCTTCACTCACATTTGCCACCCAGTTCCTAGCAGGATGCTTCCAACAGTTCAAAGTGTTGTTACATAGAAGAAGAAAGAGATTTGAACCTTATGAGCTCTGAAGGCAGAGCTAGATCCAGTGGAAAAGAGAGAGGCAGATTTCAAATAAATAAAAGGAAGAATTTTCTATCAAGGAGAGGGCAATGGGAAGACTATGGACTCTACAGCTAAACCAACTCAGGTTCAAATCCTAATGCTGCTCTTAATAGATCTGTGATCATGGGAAAATTACTTTCCCTCTCTCTGGCTTTGTTTCCTCTAGAAAAACAGAGAGAGTGCATCTTCAACAGGGCTCTTTTTGGTTTAGAGGTAACATCTATACAGTTTCTTGCAAAATGCCATATAAATGGCAAGTATGGGTGGGGATACTGTGGGGAGGAAGCTGGTGTAGGAATGGACCCCAAGATATTTGCCCTAAGATTCTAGAATTCTTGATAGCCTAGGACAGATTCTAAACACTGAATGGAATTATCTTTCCATAAAGAACATTTTCCAAAGAATCCTACCCTGGCAGAACCACTGATGCTTTGCCCTGGAAGCAACTTGGGAGGGAGGTCTGGCCACTGCCCTCTTGCTCCGTTCTTTTGGAGGAACTGGACTTCACCCTGTTTTTCTCCTGCTTTCTCTGACTCCCTAACCAGCTATTTACCTCCCCAAGAGGCTCTGCTCCTGAGAGAGAGGTGATAACGCTGGGAGTCAGGTGTGTTTCCACCTCCCAGCCTGTCCCCATCATCGATTCAGTCTCAAGTCAAACAGTCTCTGGATTTATCCTATTTAATTTGGCTGACGGAAAAGGGCCAGCCCTCTGATGATCAAATATGGCTCACAGGGAGGCTTCTCCCCTACCAAAGGCTACGCAATTATTTATTTAAAAATAATTAACCAAGGATTTTCGCAGGAAACAAAAGGCTTCTTTACAAGGGAGCATGTCAGGAGAGACTCAGGAGTCATTTGTTAGAATCCAGGCAGCATATCCCAAGGCTGTTGTGGTTTTCACACTTTGTTTTCTCCCCAACACAAGTTTATTATACAAGAAATATTAAGGGTGGAGCTGCTCTGTTAAAAGACAGATGTGCCTAGACCTCTGAATGTTCCTTTAAAAGTCTCTGGTGAAGCGATAGAGGACTGGCTGGGAACTGGGGGATCCCTGTTCTAATCTCAGCTCTGCTATCAATTTCTTGGGTGAGTGCCAGCTTCCTCATCTATAAGCCAGAGGACTGCCCACTGTGGGTGGGTGGGTCATTGTCATAGCAGTGTGATAGGAGCCAGGCACAAGACTGCTCATCAGCCCCAGATCCACCTGTAACTGTTCCCACGATGCTCCTCTCACCAAGAATGTGGCAATCACTGGCCCCTGAGAGGGTGGCTGTAATCAGCCAGCCATCTTATGAGGGGGTGGGGTGGGAGTGCATCACAAGGTGTACACCAAAAATAGGTGCTGTTGTTAGAGGCAGGAGAGGCCAGTCCTCATATATTTCAAAAACTCAGAAGAGCACTTGAAGTGAGAACAAAAATAAGTGTAGGCTCTGGAGCCAGGTGACCCGGGTTTAAATCTTGGCTCTACCCTGTAAGACCTGTGTGACCTTGGGGAAGTTACTTAACCTCCCTGAGCTTCAGTTCCTTATGGTTAACAATATCCACCTGTCAGGCCACTGGGAAGACAATGGAATGAGTTAATGGATGTCCAAGTACCCAGGTCATCCTGGGCGTGTAACAGCTGCTGAAAACATGTCAATTCCTCCTACTTTGGAACTATCTTTGTTTAGAAGACATTTTTAGGAAGGCTGAGGTCGTGCCACTTTATTGGGCACCTACTGTGTGCCAGGCACTGTGCTAGGGAGTGTTAAGAAGTGGAATGACATCTTCCCTTCTTCCTTCACCAACACAAGTTCTTAAAGTGAACATATGACAAAGGCTCTGGTTTAATGTTGATTAGCCAAAGATGCCAGGTCAATAGCCACCAGAGGACCCATAGGAGAAATGAAAGTGAACAGATGATAGCCATTCACCTTCCACTTCCTAGCTCAAGCCACTCATTGGCCCTGTCCCCGTTGTTGACTCTATGAACCACAGCAAGTGTGTCCAGCAGCAAAAGCCTTCCCAGGTGGAGTCTAGAGACTTCCCTGAGGCCCTGGTGAGTAGGTCATCTACTTTCTCCTGTTCCTAGGCATCAGCATCATGGGTGTCAGATTATTTCTGGATTCCTAACAGCATATGGGACAGACACAGGTCATTTGGTTTCTATCCAATATGACTGGTCAGAATGTCAAAGGCTGGCTGAGGTGCATGGTTCCAAGAAGCCAGCATCCTTGCCCTGCCTTCCTGTGCCAGCACCATCTCCAGGGTGCTTTTCACACTGCTGCAGCGTGGGATTTCTTCCTAAAACAAAATTACACCATGCCTCTGCCCTGCTTGGAAACAACTGATAGCTCCTCACTGCTTTCCAGAAGAGCCCCAACACATGAGGCTGGCAGAACTCAGCCTTTGCGACTCGTCTGTCTTATCTGCATCATCTCTCATCAAAACCATGATGCGCTTCTCAAATGGCCGGGCCAGCTCCTGTCTCTCAAATGGCCTGACCTTCTCCTGCCTCTGCACCTTTGCTGCACCCTCTGCCTGGAAAGCTCTTCCCTTTTTCTCATGTCACATGGCCTCCCTGGAGATGGCTGCTCCATCCTTTGTATTTTACATGCACTAGGCAGAGACTTACAGCAGGAGTCGGCCACCCTGCACTCTGACAATATGTTTACTTCTCTCTCCCTCTTAAAGAAGAGATGAGTTCTTACTCATTGCATCCTCACAGCCTAGCAGACTGCCCAGTACTATGAATATTTATCGATTGAAGCAATGAAACCCCAGAGGCTTTGAGCACCCATGCCCCAGATAATGAGCATCACTTCTAGCAGAAGGAGAAAATACAGTCAGTTCTGTGTTTATTGTATTGAAAGTATAAATCTGTTCCAGCTCTATTGACATAGTAGGGGATAATTTGAATGTAATGTGAATTTCACATTTGCAAAACACTTAGTGAATGCAGAAACCTGCATCCAGCTGAACAGAACCACATAGGAAAATACTAAAAACACTCCTGTATGTACATATACACACCACAAACATCTGTCAGCCACCTCACTCCACTGTGGGCACTGGTGAGGCAC